CCTTCAATGATTGAATGAAACCGTAACAGAAGGTGTATTTGTGATTAGGGTATATTTGTTAAACAGAATTAAACAAAGTTTTTAAAAGATTTAAAAGAAAAAAAAACATGAGAATGAAGAACTGATCTTATAGATTGATATTACGTTAAATTTAGTCAGTTATAAAGTTTACGAGTGTATTCAAGTAAAATTTAGTTTGTCTTAGCAAGCTCCGATCAAGACAAGAAACAAAGAAAAGACCTTTAAGTTTATGCTTTTTTAGTAGTATTTGTTATTGTTGTTTATTTGTCTTTAAAAGTAACATAGCTCATATATGATACGTAAAATATAAATATGGTATGCTGTTAAATATTGTTGAGTTATTTTCTAATCTAAAAAAATAAAGAAATTTTTAACTTATGGTTTCTTTGTAATAGAATAATAGGTGCCTTATCTTGAAACCACACAGACAAAGTTTCAAATGTTATTTCATTCATTCCTAAAAATACTTTTGAAAATCATTTTCCCAAGGTGTATAAATTACAATAAATTTATTTTTACTTAAAAGAAAATTATTTTGTAGTTTTGTTTCTAATTAAAAACAAATTCTGCCTAAGTTTAATTTTGCCTGCGACATACACATTGAAGATGAGTGAAACAATTTTCCACCATTAAATATGAATTAAAATAGAATATCTCATATACTTTGTATTGCTCTTTCTAATGCTATATTGAACAATAAATTGGCCAAACATTGTATGAAAAGAAAAATGTTCAAAATCTCTACTGTAGGTGAAGCAGAACATTACTTTTTAACCATTACTTCAAGAACAGCTATGATAAAGAGTATACCTTATGTAGAATACTTTTTGTTTACTAGTTAATTATGCATGATAAAAAATATTCCAACTTAGAACAATCACTCACTAATTTCCAAAAGGAAAATCGGTTAGATAGTTTTGGAAGAATGAAAAACTACATGCTGCGATTATATCGTCAACAAAAACTAAAAAAAAATAAATGGATTGATCTATGACTTTGCTATCAGTGTACTAGAGCCTATTTATTGTAATCAGAGAAAAACCAGTTCACTCTCACTCATCTAGTGTTTGAGATGAGATAAACATAAAGTACAATAAAGTTATTTATTGCTTCGATATTTTTGACAAAAACTCTATATATAACGATCTATTATTATATAAATTTTAGATAAAACTATGTTTATTAACAATTGTGCTCATCAAAAGCTCAATATGTGATGTTTAAGAACAAAATTGATTATGTAATACCCTGTTTCTATACTAGTTTTATCTAGAATAACACTACTGATTAATTAAAATTCTTTAAATTACTTCAACTGATTATACACAACACAAACTGTATGTTGTCTTCTGTGACAACTCAGCACATATGAACAACTCAGATCGTTATCTTTTACTTTACTCGAAGCACTAAAATCAACTATTTCATGCAAACTTAAACATAGTAAAGGATTCAGTAATCAGATTACTTACAAGAAAAAAAAATATTCTTATAAAGTAGAATTATCACATTATATGATTAAAAAGAACCTCCTGTGTAGTATAAAATGTATAGAGTGATGAGAATGTCCTTATTGACTAGTAACACTATCTCTTATTATTAACGACAAGACTACATATTATTTTATTATGAACCCTCTCAAATGATGGTATTTTAATTCTTTATGGTTACTGTTTTGTCTGATGTGTTTAGACACTTACATTATGAGGTTAGAATATTTCTGTTTTCGTTCAGATTTTGAAACACTGGAAAAAGGTAAAGACCTACTTCAACAAGATCAAATAGATGAAGAACTACTCGTACTTATGCTCTGTGTGATATTCTATTGTGATATCATTTTCATAATCTTGCATGTTAAGTTTTATCAAATTGAACTGACAAAGAAATCGTTTCGAATTATCAAAAGTTTATGAGATGAGATTTTCTTCATCAAGTAGGATATGTTGAAACTAGAACAAGGCTAGACAGAGACTTATCTAGAATTGGAATTAGAACAGTCGTAGTTTTCCGGTCGCTGGTCCGATTGAGCTTTTAAAACTGGACAGTTTTCATCAATTTCAATATCTTTAAAAAACCAAAAATATGAGCTGGAAAGTCCTCAAGTGATAATTTTCTAGCCATCATCAAACTTTTAACTGTAAATCTTGAGCTCACCCTTTCTGGTCTTATGTTGAGTGCCTCAAATTATATTGAATGAATTTATTACGGCCAGAAAAAGCTAAGTTTTGATTAAAATAAATATTTTTTATCTCATTTTTTCAGATTCCTTTTTACCAATTGTCAGAAACTCTCAACCGGTTAGTGGTTTCAGCTCATACTTTCAGTTCAAAAATATGAGAAGAGATCCTGGTCTATTGAGAAAGTGATGCCAACCATTAGAAACTACAAAAAGTTACATGATTTTCATATTTTATGTTTGAGTGAAACTGTAGCAATAAACTTTATTCAAAGGCACTAGTTGGTTACTTGATACATTGAACAGACCGATTTTTACTGGTTAAGCCAAAAGTTTCAATCGGTTAGTTCCGTCCAAAAAAACTCTACCGCTTGCCAATATGATCTTCTTGCTGAGTCGCTATTGTCGAGAGATAATTATTCCACTAGTTTATTGGCCAATATTGAGATATATCACGAAAAATCGAATGCTTCAATCTCAATATGACATTTGGCATTCAAAAAGATCTTAGTTAAATAATATGTTTTTATCGTGAGTTAGAAGATTCTCTCAAAAACCACATTTTTTGGCACTTATTTATTTATCGAAGTAAAATAGTGAGTAAAAATAAGACGCCAAGATTCTCCAGCTCTTCGGCTTTTTTCTTTCTGATTTGTAACAGAATGCGATCCCATCTGCCACTATCAGACGACACGTGATGAAACGATGATAAATTGATTTGAATGTGAATGAAGATTTACTGATGTATTTTATTGAATGACGAACATGAAAAAGGATGAGAATTAGTAAGAATACAGAGAAATAACAAGAGTGATGTGAATAGATAAAGAATTGGTTGATTGAAAGTAGCAGTGAAGTAGAAGTTTAATAATGAAGTAAAGATGTTTACGTTGAAGAACGAACTAATGAGATGTGCACCAACGACAAACATAACTGCGCAATGAAGAGGAAATTATAAGAATCAAAGAAAGGATTGTAACCAACGTGAAAACAACTAATAATGGTCAAAACGCAGCGAATCTGAGAAAATGTATATAAAACAAAGCAAACACAAATGTGTGTTCCTTTTGAGTGTAAAATTTCAAATCAAAATTTATTACAGTCATCAGTTAATGAATAATGCCAGACAACTAAATTTTTTTTTTCATTATGATTGAAGTTATTATTTATCATTAGTTTACAACACATTTTCATAGATTTTGATCAATTTTACTCAGATAAACTTTCAACTACGTGAGTAACATGATGAATAGAAATTTTAAAATAGTAGAAATATGTTCTTGGAGAAAATGTAAAATAATATCTTGCCGTATATAGTTCAACAACATAATCTTCATGATGTATTTATTTTAGAATAGTCTATTTATAAAAAAAGTACTTTCTTAATATAAACAATGTCAACAAATGAAACATACACTATAATGAATTATTCATTGACATATTCAATTAAGTTTGCTGTGTTACTTGCACTTCAAATTCCTTCAATTCTAGTCTCACTTACAATCTTTATTTATTTTGGTTACAATCATACTGCTCTTGTCAAATATCATAATCATTCTATACTTATTTTACTTTTAATCAATTTTTTTCAAGTCATTTCTGATCTTCCTATGCCAATGAGTTTCTTTCATTTGAATGGAATTGTTCAACCAGCTACATCAGCATATTGTACTTGGTGGACATGGTATGAGTTTTCATTAAATACTACTAATGGTTTTATCATGGCTTGGATTTCTATTGAACGTCATCTACTAATATTTCATAGTTATTTTATTCGAAATATAGGTATTCGGAAACGACGATTACTTCAAATAGTTCCTTTAGTATTTTGTTGTATTTGGGGACCATTGTATTATACTTATGCTATAATAATTAGTTCTATGTGTACAAATACTCGATATTTTGATAGTCTTTTATGTGGTATGCCATGTTATTTATTCACTAGCTGGGGTACATTTGATCTGTTTTTTGATGTTATATTTCCAGTATTGACTATTTTTATTTTTAATCTTGCTCTTTTCGTACGTGTTATTCAACAAAAGTTAATTGCTGCTGGTCCTATTCGAAACAATTGGCGGCGTCAAAGAAAAATGGCTTTTCAACTAGGAATTATTTCTTTTGTTTATCTTGCTGTTTGGATTCCATTATCGATAGCTCAACTTGGTCAAATCTATATCGATTCAAATTTTCTTTTTACACAATTAGATACATTTAATTTTCTTGTTTACATTGTACCTCTTGTTCTACCTATGGTTTGTCTTATGTCAATGCCTGAACTTATTAAGAAATTAAAAACTCTTATATTCAGACAACATCATACAGTTATAATGCCTTCTAATAATCAATCAATTCAACAGAATAACAAAATTCATCCATCAAGAAGGATTGCAGAGACACGATTTTGACATTTTCATTTCTAGCTTAACACTTCACTCTTATTAATTGATTGTAAAGTAAACAATAAATATATCTTCGTATAAATCAGTCCTTATTTCAATCGATCTTATATTTTCAATTATTCTTAAACAAAAAATTCATTTATAACAAAAATTTTTTACATGATCATATTTTGTTGATTGTTCATAAAAACAAAAACAAATAAATCTCTTTAGTACTAAGTATCAGATGAAAATCATTGTTGATCATAATTCTATAAAATACAAATACTAACTAAAAAAATATCGATAAAACAAAACTTACTAATACTTGATTATTATTATGTATTTGTTTGTACAAATCATGAAGTCTTTGAGAAAAATTGAATTTCAATAAACTTCGCGAAAAAAAAAACAAAATATGAATGTTACCTTCGTTCAATTTTTTCTAGTGCAACTTCAACTTGATCTTTCTTTCCATGTTTCAATGTATAACTCCAATAATCATCAGCTATTGCACTTTCACGTTGCATTGCATCAGTAACTGTTATAAACAAAAAAAAAAGTTCCTCTCTATTTGAACTCTATTGAATAATTCTACTTTTAAATTCTTCTTGAACATTTTTTTCATTGGAATCAATCGAATTCATTGCTACAGTGTCACTGGCAACTACAAAATTAATAAAAGAAAAATCGTTGTTTATGAATAAATTATGTAAAACTACCATGTCGTTGTCTTTGGCGATATTCTTCAATTTTTTCGATTATATATTTAATAATACGATATAGATACCATAGAGTATTAAATGGTGGTGGTAATGAAGGTTTATAATTATATTCAACAACAAGTAAAAATCGTTGATAACGCCATATTCGATGAGATTGCTTTTCAACATTTTGGATTGTAACACTGAAAATAAAAAGAAGTAAATGTGTATATATATATATATATATTAGTCAATTTATTTTCATACTTAAATAAAGCAACAAGGACATTTAGAAGAAGTACATTAGCAATAGTAACAAATAGTATAGCCAAGACAAAAGCTACAACAGAATATGCATCTGTACCATCTAAAAAAGAAGGAAAAGAACAATACTATAATGAAAAAATTTAAACTATAAATATCTGTACCAATTGGATCAACTTGTCCAAAAACTTTCCAAACACCATAATTTGTAACATCACGTAATAATTGCCATGTCCATAAACCACTTCCTCCACCTGCCACTGTCACATTAGTTAATGACCCATCACTACCATAATACCAAAATACTTGATTATCTGTAGTAATTAATGACCATGATGTTATTGAAAATGCTAATAAGAATATTAGAATAAAACAAACGAAAAATAGCAGATCTTTCATCTATTAATAAAAAAAAAATATGAAAAGATTGATTACATTAGAACAAAATATAATTGACTGACCGTATTAAAAATCATAATTAATTTTGGTCCTAATTTTTCAAAAGCAGCAAATAGATGTAATGTACGAACAAACCAAAGTATGAAATCAAGACATAAGAATATTCTAAAAAATAGTTTCAAAATAAATATATGTCATAATATAAAAGAAAATATGTTATCAAAAAAATTTACTTTGATACAACAAAAAGTGATTCACGAACAATAAATCGTGTAATAAAACCAATAATATATGTAATAATTGCAAGAATATCAATAATATTCCATATTTCTCCAAAATATTCTCTTGTAATACTCACAAAGAAAAACTAAAAATAATAAATGATTTCATTTATTAATAAAATATAAATGAATATTACTTGACGAATTTCTTCTGCAATTAAACTCCATATACAAATATGAAGAATTATTTCAGTTGCTGATAATTTTAAATTTTGAAAACCAGATCGACGTTCACCATAGACGTTTAATGGAAAATAATCAACAAGAAGAACAAAACTGAATAAAAGCAAAAATATAATGAAGAATATCTAACCGAAAATAAAGACAAATAATCACGAATATTTTTTTAAATCATAGACATCATTTTTACCGTATAATAATAAAATCGTACTATTGGTGCTTGATAGAAATAGCTTATTCTATCTGTCCATGGAACATTCTTTTTTCTTTTATGTTGAATATGTCTTATAACAAAAAATGAACACAAATTTCAATATCATAATCCTTAGTTTTCTTACTCAATATCGTTATTCATCATAGTCGATTGACTACCTCGTGAACGATCTTGAGTACTTGAAACAATCTTTTAATAAACTTTTCAATATATTCATAAATTCTTTTGAGAATTTTTTTACTAACATTTTTATGTTTTTCTACATATGGTAGAAAAGTACAAAATATTGGAATTAAAGGCAGAAATAATGAACAAAGAAAAACCTAAAAAAGTAAAATTTATTTAATGCTTCATTTAGTCTTTTTTTTTTAAATATTTACTCGAAAATTAATAGTCCTTCGTTTGTAATTTATATGTCCAAACCTATAAATTTAATGTTGTTTTCTTAAGTTTGCTTTATGAAAGAAAAAAACTAAAATATTACCATTCATTATCAAGATATCTTTGAACACATTTTGATGCAAGAAATGATCTGCAATCAGCTTTTCGAGCTAACAGTAATCGATCAGTATCATTAAATGCAACAGCAGAATGTTTTAGAAGATCAACAGCAAAATTTTCATCACTATCAAAGCATCGATCAATAATTGACATAGCATGAATATCAAATTGGCTAGAAGGAAAGAAAAATAAATAAATATTATAATCGATGAAAAATATTGAAATTACGCGGCATGTTCTTCATATTGCTGCTGTATATCTGAATCAACTGTTAATCTTGCTGCACGCCGATAGATATGTGTACCAAATAATGGTGCTATTGTTGGGTTCTGCAAAGAATATCTTATCATACAATGAAACGTATTGTATTGATATTCAAGAAGATTGATTATATATAGATCAAATGATTATTCTCACTATCACACTAATGAATTTCAAATGTACGCTGATCATGATAAACCTCGAGTGAGATATTTGATTTTTCATGTATTCATAGTTTTGATATAGAAACATGTTGATATGAAAACCGTTCATATCCATATTTTTACAGCTATGATCAGGCTTTTCAGGTAGTGCGTTTCCTGAGTTTTGCTGAAGTTTATCGACCATATGAGAATCAGTTTAAATTCAGTTTCTTCGGAAAATTTACTTATTTCGAACTAAGAAAAATATTGGTAATCATTTACCAAAATCAGTAACTTATCAGTACTTTCAATCTGATTTCATATGAAAATAAGTTTACATAAAATAATATTCCACAATATATATTATATTAATTCAGAAGCAAACTCTCTTGTTGTGTGATTAGTGCGAAAATCATCTGTTTTATTATCAGTTGATTGAATATCTTCATTTCCATCTGAAGTAAATGTATTGCAATATTATTTTGCACAATTTGTTGATTTCATATGAAATAAAATCAAAAGTATTGATACCTTACAGATATCGGTAAATGGTTAGCAATATTTTTCCTAGTTCTGAGTATTCCTTAACTTTTCGAACAAAGCTGAATCTTGATTGCCTTCAATGTGGTTGATAAATTTGAGAAAAATGTTGAAAAACGAAAGAGAAATAGTAGATTCCTAAATTCCATGAAACTTCAACGCTCAAGTCTCTGCTGTTTTTCCTCACTGGCAACATACTGCATGAAAAGTCAGCTGATTGTGTAAAAGTATAAATGTGAATGATTTTCATATTATCATGTTTCTATTCCGAAATTCTGAATACCTCACAAAATCGAATAGTTCATTCGAGGCTCTTCATAAGTAGTTTACACTTTTAATTCGTTAGTTTGGCAGTGAAAGTAATCATTAAACCTGCATATAGTCAATCCTCTTGAGTACTATCAGTACAATCGATTCTATTATAAGATATCGTTTATTTATTTTATATCCTACCCGAGTTTTCGAACAAAGATATGTTGCAAGTTCAAATCGATCAAGAAAAACAGCCCATAAAAATAATTCTTGTGGAGCACTTTTGCCTAATGGTTGATCATCTTTTGATTGTGATAAATTTTTATCCTTGTTTTCATTATACTAGAACAATATTTCATATGTAATAAGCAATAGATTAAGTTTGTTCTTACTATGTTTGAATGAAAATAATCTGTAAAAAACTGCTCTCTTGTCCATATACCATCTTTTCTTTTACCTTTAAGTGGTAATCGATTACTAATCTAACACAAAAGAAACTAACCTTTGTAAAATAAATTAACTTTTGATTTTTATATCAACATACCAACTCTGTTGTATAAAGATCTTTAAGATTTCCATTTGTTAATTTTTCAAGTAATGTACCAAATTCAATAAGTAATTCAACAAAATCAACATGACCACGACGAAGTGCATCGACAAGAGCACGACGAAGATCATCTTCCTTTTATTTAATACAAATATAAAAGTATAATAAAAAAAAAAACCAACAACTTACTTTCCATTTCGATATAGTCGTATCAGTAAGAAGATATTCATGAGCATAATCAAATTTATGCCATGCCTAAATAAATATAAAATGAAAAATCCTTTTAATCGATTGTCTTTTTTAAATTACTATAGCTAATTTAAGTTCTGTTGCTCGACGATGTTGTTCATTATAATCACCGGAAAACTTTGCAGCTATATAATAAAAACAAAGAATTTTGTTTTGATAGAAATTCTCAATGAAGAATATTTACTATTAAATAATGTTTCTAAAATAGCATCTTCAAGATTCCCACGATATCGTTTACTATCAAATGTAAAAATTGTTACAAGTTTTTTACGTTCATTTAATATTCGACATAAATCATCTTCAACTTTTTCAAGTCCTGATATATCAGTTCGTGCTTTAGCCAAACTTGATTAATTAATAGAGACAATTATTATATAAAAAATTTCATCATAAGAAAGCTTACATTGCATTAATGTCTGTTTCTTTTGAGCCACCTTTAGCAAAACCCGTTTGTGGTCGAGCAAGGTGCCTAGCACCACCGCCACCTTCATTATCGGAATAAAAAGCATGTAATTCAGCAACAAGATCAGCAGCACGACCTGAATCCTTTAAAACAAATCTAAGCATTCTTTCTTTTTTAGATTATTCAATTTTTTTCTATACTTTGATAACTACAAGTGGGGTATTCGACTCAAGTGCTTTACAAATTGTTCGAATCGATGATGGACCACCTTCAACCAAAACCATAACAATAGGTATAAGTGATTCTACTGCTTCTTCTGTAGCAGTTTCAATATTGGTAATGCAAGAGTATTTTTCGATTTCTGCTCGTAATGGAAGGACACTATCAGCCTTTGACTCTCCATCGTCGAATAACAAAAAATGTGTATGATTTGGTTCTAAATCACATCGTTTCTCAGGTTTTCCTTTGACTATATAAGTTCGAACACCATCTTGCTCACCCATATCCTAAATTTAATTTGAAAAACAAAAACGAATTTTTTTTTTGAACAAGTTTTTCGACTAACCATACGAATAGAATGTGTTGCTTGATTTTGATGATGTTTAGTGAATGAACGTGTTCCTCTTGTATTATTCAGATTTACAGAAATATTCGTAGATTGACTGTCAAGTTGATCATTTCCTGCTGTATAACCCCAGCTAGCTATGCCAATAGTTGGTATATTAAGTCCATGTTTTCGATTTTTATAACGATAATTATTAAGAGCTTCACCAACTTCTTTAACAACACCAGCATTTGTTCCAGCTGTAATCAGCCATGCATCTATTCAATAAAAATTCTAAGTATTAATTATTAATATTAAAATCAAAATATATTACTTGTAGTAATTGCAGCTGAAACTAGACCACTTTGAAAAATTTTTTTAAGACGTGTTGACATATCGAAATTTTTTGCTCCACCAGTCACAGATATAATTAAGTCAGGTTTTGGTAAACGCCAACCTTGTTTCATAAATTTCACAACTGTTTCAGCACTGGTTTCAAGACTTAATCGTATATATTCTGAAGGACGTGAAGTAGCATCAAGTTTATTTTCATCAAATTTCATAAAACCATAGTTTCGAGTTATTGTATACGGTCTAGAAGAAAAAAACATATTGAGTTTATTTTTTATTAATGAAAATAAATGTAAACTCACGGATCATATTGACAAATTTTCAAGTTTTCAATAGCCTAAAATGTTTAAAAAAGATCATATGATGTTTTTATTATCTCTTGTCTATCAATTACCGTTTGAACATTTTGCAGTCCTTGAGTAATTTTATCATCCATTCTTTAATTATGCTTCATCAATTCATGTATATTTGTTTTTTGTTTCAATTGCTGGAATACAAAAAAAAATTGAAAATAACTTTAATTCAAAAGAAGCAAAGAAAATACGTACAGAAGATTGACATAAAGAAATGATGTTGCCATTCAGTGTATATTATATTTAAAAAAATTCTTTTTTCTCTTAGTAAAAAAAATCTGAAAGAAAAGAACATAGTTGTTTGCTATTCGATGGCTAACACTATTCTCTTTTGCATGAAATGAAGTAAATATAACCATGATGTTATGGCAACCAGTTCGGTTGTCATTTACATACATTGTGAAAGCTGAGCTTATCGTTCGATAAAATGTTCTTTTACGCATTTTTTCGTTAGTGTTGAAAGAAAACAAAAAAAAATTCTTAAGAATTTTTTTATATACATCGTATTTGACAACACATAAGTGTAATAATAGATATGTAAACTAAAGTGATAGAATGAATTTATTTCTTATTTAACTATGTTGATTCGATTATATTACAAAAAAATTTGATAATTTTTCAAAAAGAAACTTTGTTATTATCAAACATGTCATCCTTCTGAATTGATATCAAGTTGTGCATAATAGCGTAATTATTATCAACTACTAGCCAATATAGTATGTTATTAATGACTTATTCAAGTTTTTTGCTTAATTTTTTTTTTGAATCAACAAAGTAGCTGGAATTTTAAAACTCTTGTTGCTGTGAAACTCCTAACTAACTGAATATAAATATCTCTCGTATAAATTGGAAAGAAATTTTCTCAGACAGTCAAAAATTTATCAATAAATTACATGAGTACCAAATATTCAGTAGAATACGAAAGTGGAACTCAATAATGGATGCGTGATAGAGATCGTTGAGTCCGAATCCAGATCTCAGCAACATTCAATAAATCGGATCTGAAAACGTTGGATCAGACAGGGTCAAATACATGAGTGAGAGTGGTTTCGATCGCAATTATATTGAATTATGATAGAGAGAGTAAAACTCTTTTTTTTTTCTATGATAAAGAAACGTATGAATCAAATCATGAAAAACGAAAATAAGTTTGTTAAATGTGTATGTTTTTGTTTTTCTATCATGGCGCATGGTTCATTTAAAGAAACATACGAAGAATGGACGTTTTGAAAATACATCTAGAATATGAAAAGTTATCAAAGTACTATTTTATCATCAGGTCATGGTAAATGTCTATACCGTATAATAACATGGGCTATGCAATAACTTCTTTATGGTAACAAGCATCAATCATTCTAAATTTTTATCAAAGTCACCATGATTCTTAGCAGTACTCAATGCAATATGGAAACGACTAGATAGACATTTGAATCTTTTAAAATGCTTCAAGCACCTCGATGAAAATCTTCAGTATTAGAGGTTCGCTTTTTCTCATTATACTTGTTTTTATGTTATTAACAAAACACACAAACTATATGTAAAGAATATAAAAAAATAACTACAACATAAAATTCTGATTTTTGTCTGTTCTTCAACTTATTTCAATAGATCACGTCAAAAATCACCAGCCATGTGCGCACATTTACTACTCATTTGAATCAGTAACTAACAAAAATAAAAATAAAAAAGAAAGAAATATTCTTCGATTCATAAAACGTCGATATTTATTCGTTTGATCTTGCTCATCATTTGAATTATCGATTATTTCAAGATAAATAAATCGTTAGTTTTTCATCAAACTCTATTTCCATATTACAAAACTCAAATTCAAAAACTCAAATAAAAATGTGGTCACCTAATACATGATTTTAATATCATCGTTCATGACCTATGATAAAATGCATAGTCTTTACTAATAGAAGCTACATATGCAGGCATAAAATAAAGATATTCAGAAATTTTTCTTTGAAAATTTATAGGCTCTAATACAAAACGAAATTGATCATACAATGAATCATATAATTGATCTTGAATAATTTTTATTCTTAAAACTATAACTAAATATAAAATAAGAAAAAACAAGAACATTTTGCCTCTCTGAATAAAACAACATGTATACTGAAAAGAAGCACATCAGATATTTCCAAAAGTATAACAGCAAAGAGAAATACCACTGGAGAATTATGAACTGTCACATCTGACGAAGGAAAATACAAAAATCAGTCATCTTTTTAAAGTAAGAACTAAATGCCATGGCAAGTAATTACAGAAAGAAAAAAAAACTTTTTGAGCGTTGATTTTTTTCTTACTATGTTGCACTTATCATAACAGTAATCAAACAACAATGATTGTGCTTGAACTCGGACACAAACTTCTTACTATTTTTTGTCAAGATTTTGACATAGAAAATGAACAAACAATTGACTCTTGACTTGAATCATCGGTCCAAGCCAAAGTTCCCTTAGTCAATATTCATCAAAAGCTGTACTTCTACGAGTATTTGGTACACTATGCAGTGCTCTGCAGGATATAGTTAGATCAAATCACAATTAGTAGGTTTTATTCAGTAAGATGGCATAACTCTCAATAAAATGATATAATGCTAAGCAGCATGAGTTAGATTACACTATAATGATAGTGTTTTGCTGATTTCTATGCACTGCACTAAATCTACATACAAATACGGCTATTATCGAGATTAATGAGAGCAACCAAGACCCAAAACGAAAGTACCTTGTAAAGTCAGACCCAAATCAAATTTGTTTCTTGTTTTTACATGCCTTTGGACACAAACTGAAAAATTCCTAAGGTCAAAACATCTGTAGTCTGACGAGGGAACTATCCCAAGTGTTAATCACCGATCGGGTTCATATTTTGTCCATAAGTATAACTCGATGAGACTAGAAGAACTCTAAAAGAGTTCATCCCTATACGTTGTCTTTCTTGAGTTATGACCGTTTTACTGAATTTTCGGCCTATGGCAAGGCATATATAAAAACATGGAATTGCAGAATTTTGACCTGAAATTTTGCC